CTTTTAGCTCTAGGCCCGTAAGCCTGTAAGCCCGTTACCACGTACGCCCGTTAGTCCTTTGGCTCATAGAGCCTCGTTTGCCTGTCATTTGTAGTGGAGACAATGGCCCTTTCAGGCGTCTCTTAAGATTTGTCGTTACACTTTTCTGTTTTGAATTTTTTGGATTGCGTTGTTTGTTAGGTCCTTCACAATCTGTAAACTATTATCTGGGGGTTTCCTCTCGAACAACTACAGGATCTATTAGTCTCATCCACTTAATGTCTTTTGTTTTGATGGAAATGGGAAATCCTCCCAGCACATTCGACTATGCTAGCTACCACTCAGTGGAAAAACGAGAGATCAGCTTGATGAAAACAACAACAAGGAACAAGCTTTGGTATGACTTCATCGCATTTACTCTTCTGATATTGACCTTCGTTCTAAATAGTTACTGCAAACGGCACCGCTTCTTAACACTTTCTTTTTTTTTCCACCAGTTATCCTCTCTTACCCTTCCACACGTGATTATTAACGACGACAAACCGAATATTAACGAAGACAAGCCGAATATCCGTCGGACACAAAGTCACGAGCCACGCCGATCAAATCCGCCACCTTTTCCCTTGACCCAAATCGCTGAGAAATACCTCCTTTTAAGTCCCGAAGCTTTTCGGCGGTCAACTGCCACCACATGCGCAAAAGGAATCCAAAATGCAAGAGAAAAAAAGAAGCACCGAAACCAGAGACACAAGAGTTAGAGAACATCTCGAAAGATGAAATAGAAATTGTTAGAGAAGCAAACAACGAGGATGAATCGGAAACAGCGATAAACCGAGGCCTAAGGACTACAGACAGCGCTGGTGATATTTGGATTTGTACAACTAAGAACATCGCATACGAATGCTGATCCAAACTATTTAATTTTGGATTCACCTGTAGTTCCTCTTTCTAATGGTGGCCGTAGAGTAAAGAGAATACGATGAAGTGGTCTTTTAACTGACCAGAATTATGAGAATTTTCACCCACTATGAAGATCATCTCTTATAGTTAATTTCGTGCGGGTTTTATTGAAAGGTGTTTAACAAGCTTAGAAAAGTCTCTTCCAAACAGTTTTCAAAAACCAGCCGCGCCGAAAAAAAAAATTAAGCAGAGGTATTCACCCATAGCATGGACATGATGAATTGGAACGAAACGAACGGTGTGACAGAACTTTTGTAACGTATCGAAACTAACCAATCAAGATGAAATTCAATGAAACAACAATAACGCGATGAGAATGCCCAATTAGCTCGAACGAACCAGATCAATGCAATTCCTATGACACACAACTTATCCCTTGACTCCAGTGAGGACTTTCATTAAGGACGTGAGTTTTCAGTCATGTCCTCTGTTCGATCGAATTCTAAAATGTTTTAGCTTTACCTTTTTTTATACAGTTTCATCTACGAATGAGAAGCAGGATGATCCTAAAGGAGATGACCGTGACACTCCAGCTGAGGCTCGTGAAGCAGGCGACTTTCAGATGATACTCGCAAACACCAAGTTATTTGCGCCGATGGCAGTGTTTAAATCGATAGGAACAGGATCACTTAACAAGCCTTGTGTTATCTATACCAGGCATGAAAACAACCTCGTAACTTTATAGAAACTTCCAAGATACTTCGTGGCAAATAAGAAAATACAGTCCTACTCCAAGACTTCCCACAGCCGAACATACAATAAGGGGTCTGGTTACGAGATTGACGTATGAGAGGTTTCTCAAAGGAACACCAACTTCCCCGAAGAATCAAAATGTTACATCGCACTCACCCTGCAATAAAAAACACACGAGAAAAAAAGATCACGAGAAAAGATTGTGTCACACACACGACATCCAGCGCACAACAGAATAATATAAACAGCGAAAAATGAGGAATTATGTATGATACCTTCTTTACAATTTTTTCATTTACTGATTAATTTATCTGTTTTTCGTTTTAGGCCACCTTCAGGAAGATCAGATGGAATCCACAAACTTGACATACTGGTGTCTGAATCGCGTGAAAAAATGAAAAGCGAGTCCACCACCCGTGGACAGAACGTGAGCGAATGACGAAGGGCTGACGCTCTGACGAAGGTATAACAGTCAAAAGATCAGCTTACTTATATAACAGCCTCGTTAGCGCAGTAGGCAGCGCGTCAGTCTCATAATCTTAAAGGAAATCTGAAGGACGTGAGTTCGATCCTCACACGGGGCAATGTTTTTGAAGTTTTTATAGCCAAACCAGTCTTTCAGGAAACCGTAAGGCTTTTAAAGAAGCAAACTTTAAAACGACTCTGTTATTTGCACGGACAGCAAGACTAAAACAAATATAATTAAAGGTACTTCTCCCAGAAATGAAAAGCAAGAGTAGGCCTCGGCTATGGCTTTTGAAACTGCATGAGAAGGGATTACCTCTCCTGTCGGTTTATACTTAGTATAAATTTTTTTTGCCGAGACCACTTATTGTATCTCGTTCCTTTATTGATGATATTTTAGTCTTTCTAAATATTCTCTTTCCTTTTCTTTTGCAGCCCACGCAGTTTCCATCTCCCTGTATTTTCTTTCCTATATTTTCTTTCTTCTTTATAAAGATGATAAACAAGCAGAAAATGAATAATGGTGACGTCATCTGTCCACCGATTCGTTATAAAAACGAACCAATGAAAACGCTTTTGTAATTCCATTTTGCTGTTTTGCCTTGTAAGTAGTGTTTTGAATTTTTCTTGGGACGTCTGTACTTTTGTGTGACATATTTTAACTCGGTGCTTCTGAGAAATGTTGGGTGGTGAAGTGCTTTATGCCACTGAAAGTACATCGCTCAACCGGTCTGTTCTAACTTAAGTCGTCTTAGTTATACGGAATCCAACCGCTATCATGCCATGAACCAACAACGAANTATTTGTCGTAAGGTGCGGTCCGTTAGCTCAGTCGGCAGAGCGCGGTGCTGATAACGCCGAGGTCGTGAGTTCAAACCTCACACGGACTATTATTTTACCCCAAATGAACTATTTTCTTTGTTTTGTCAGGCCCTCTGCAAATTTATCAAAAGAAAGCCTCAAATTCACATATGCAGTACATTGTAGTTTTTAATGTATTCCCACATGAAAATATCCTAAATATGAAGACCGAGAAATCCCATTCGCATCGGCATTCTTTGTCCTCTTTGATAAGAGCCGCAAATATCCCTAAATCAAAGATTACTAGAAATTTTGATGGAAAATTTCTCTAACTAAGAACTTGTACTCTTTCAAGTATGCACCATGCATAGGACAGCGGTCGCATTATGGTGCCCATTCCGTGATATACGTTGAGATCGACATTCCCTGTCCTGCAAAATATGGCTAAACACCCCAGAAAGACAGGTAATGTATTATTTGCCTGTCCAAGTAAAATTAGAATAGTGAACAGGCTTGAAACAAAGTTAGAAAAAAGAGCCATGAGCACTATGACTTATGGAACGGAATCATGAGATAAAAACGCGTGAGGGGCAGGAAACAAAGTGCGAAAACAAATCACCTCTGGAAAATCATACGAAATCTGGTTGGCAGAGAAGAAAGCCAGTGCTAACATCTCTAAAGATTCAGAAAATAACTGCGAGGGAGACAAAAATACACCAAAGGCAGTGGAAAATCCTTTGAGGTGTGGCTGCAGGACAAACAAAAGCAAAACAAAATGAGTTAGTCCAGAAGGTTACCACAGAAAAAAAACGAAAAAGACTAGAGGAGATAGACCAGTTGGCAAAATGCCTAAATCCACATTACAAGACTTACGAGGACTGGCTAGCAATCAAGGCAACCAAGCTGTCCGAGAGCGACAGCGGGCTCGACACGAACTGCAAAGAGAACATGAGGATCACGGTCTCTTCAGAGGAAAAACAGAAAGACGCCAAAATTGTTTTCAACATCTGGCAAACAATGAAAGCTCTTAAACAACTTGATGGAGAAGAAAGAAAATACAGCGAGTTGAAAGCAAGGTTGGCTGCAAAGAAAAAGGACAAGAAGCCTTTTAAAAGACTCAATATTTTAAGTAAAAGAACAAGATACATGTTGAAACCCGCCTCAGCAAAAATTTATCACATATGCTTTTTTTTACTATGCAGTGCAAGAGCCATAGTCGAGCCATACTCCTTACTCTTNCTTTGGAAACTTACCCCCTTTTATTCATATGTTTTAAGATTTCAAAGCCAAGCTGCCTCCCGTTAAATTACCTGGGTAAAGGTACTTAAAAAGGGATGCCCCGTGTGTGGATCGAACTCACGACCTTCAGATATCTAATTTAACTTTGAGACTGACGCGCTGGCAACTGCTAACAAGGCGGTTAAATAAAATCGTTGGCATGTGGTTTCATGATTTTGGCATCTACCTTACTTTAAGATTTTACTGTATAATACTTCCTACGATGATTGACTGACGGTTATAGTGTCCACATGATATTTTATCTTATTTACTTATCTATTTATTTATGACCATTTCAACTAATCACGAATTTACCGACGGTGAAATAAGGCGCTCTTCTTCATCCGTCCATACAGAAAACAGTTAGTGTAAGGGACGTGGACATGGCCGTCGAAGAAGGCCTGAAGATAACCAATGCCAGATTGATAGATTTAAACATTGGAATGAACTACCGTTTGACAATAACTGTTCCTACTTTTCACTTTTCATTGGCACTTAAGACAGACATGTTAAATCCGTCGAATCTCAATTCAGAAAACTTCCAACAAAATTGACTTATTTCGCAGCACACACATCGCTGCATGATTGTAAAACGAGAAGGGAGGAGATGGATTCCACACGGCAGTTTTAGTATCATAAAACACCTTGCTTACCACAAGACGGTTTTCATGGGCGCTTTTTTAAACCCGTATCTAAACCCACTACTAAACCCACTAAACCCACACGTTTTAAACCCACTCAGTACAGCGCTCACAAACAAAATTCATACCGATTTTACACGTCCAGCCCGGTTAGCTCAGTCGGTAGAGCATCAGACTTTTAATCTGAGGGTCATGGGTTCAAGTCCCATATCGGGCGGCATACAATTTTTTTTTTTCCTACACAACTTGGCTCAACTAAAAAGTTTCTATTGGTGCAGCTGTGAGACCTGTGCAAGAGAGATTGAAGAAGCATGGCGGAAAATATCATCGGACTCACTCACACTACCCTGCTGACTTACGGACGGGCATCATAACATGGCTCGTTATGCAGGGTTTCAGTCTGAATGAAGGGTTGAGCTGTGAAAAAGTCATGGGGAAGATGACAATACACAGAAATTTCGGAAATGTACCAGAGATTATTCACGTCCTATATTTTTTTAACATTGCATTGCATAACCAACTAGTCAATGATTTCATTTTTGAAGGTCCCACGGAAAACCGCCTGGCGAGTTGGGTTCTCTAACTAGATATTGCTATCATTATTATAATTATTATTACTATTATTGCTATTGTTATTATCATTATTAGTATTAAATTTCCTTGGATGGAGTACGCTATCTTCGATTAAAAGATGGAAAGTATTGTTCTCACACAACTAGATGCCATTATCATTAACATCGACGTCCACTATGAGTCTTGAACCCATGACCCTCAGATTAAAAGTCTGATGCTCTACCGACTGAGCTATTGGGGCGACCTATAGTCTAGACTTTTTCGTCAAGTTTTCGTCTTACTGAAGACCACTGAACGCCTGAGCGCGAGTTTATCGTATGCAGGGTATCTCGAACTCTTTACAAGAATATGTTAAAAATTCATTCACAGAGATAACTGTAATTGCCTCGTTAGCGCAGTGGGCAGCGCGTCAGTCTCATAACATAATAAGATATCTGAAGGTCGTGAGTTCGATCCTCACACGGGGTTTTTATACCCAAGCCAGTCTTTCAGGAAACCGTAAAACGACTCTTTTATTTGAATGGACCGCAAGACTAAAAAGGAATATGAGTTAAGGTATTCTGCATTAACATATTTTTGTTCTCAAATACATTTTTTGCCACAAAGGTTTCTTTCATTCACTTCTAATTAAACTACATCATATGCGAATCAAGGAGCCAACCGAATGAGAGTACTTCTCCCAGAAATGAAAAGTAAGAGTAGGCCTCGGCTATGACTTTGAAACTGCATGAGAAGGGCCCAGCTCCTATCGGTTTATACTTAGTATACATTTGTTTTGATCGAGTCTTTCTAAATATTCTCTTTCCTTTTCTTTTGCAGCCCTCTTAGCTTTCATCTACCTGGATTTTCTTTCCTATATTTTCTTTCTTCTTCCTCTGTCCTCCGATTGCTTATAAATAAGAACCAATCAAAACGCTTGGGTAATTCCATTTTGCTGTTTTGCCTTGTAGTAATTTTTTTAAATTTTTTCTCGGGACCGCTGGACTTTTGTATGATAGATTTTAACTGGGTGCTTCTGAGAAATGTTGGGTGGTGAGAAAAGTGCTTCATGTCACTGAAAGTACATCGCTCAACCGGTCTGTTCTAACTTAAGTCGTCTTAGCTGTACGGAATCCAACCGCTATCATGCCCTGAACCAACAACGAAGAGCAAGAAAAAAAGTGTTGGGGACTCCGCCCAATATTGAACCCATGACCCTCAGATTAAAAGTCTAATGCTCTACCGACTAAGCTAACCGGACGACTCATATTCATGGTTTCTTCGTGATGTCTTCTTCAACCCCGGACCCCAAGTTAGTTCTATCCTAGCCACACCAACTGTCTACAAGAGTTTTCCAAGATCTCAATTAGACTGGTTTTAGTTGTTGTGGTTAGAGCAGCACCATGTTTCATAAAGTTCGATCAACATGCAAGTTCTTATAGCTGCGTCAACTGACGCAAGACGACTGCACGAGAAATACAGAGCCGCTATTTAACTCCGGTCTACATCTTACTGGTTTGACACCTTTTCATGCTTATATTGAGAGCAAATTTATAACAAATTAACTACCTCTGCCTGGCGATAAAGAAATACTATTTTATTTATCACAAGACAATAAAATACCCACTTTGAAAGCTTTTGAGAGATGTTGATGGATACCCGCGGATTCTCCATATCTTTTCCTATAATTTCGTTCTCATTCCTTCGTCTTGAAAAATTTATATGTTGGCAATGATGCGTGAGATAACTTAACCTCAGGATTAAGATTTTCCACTTAAGATATTTATCGCAAGGTGCGGTCTGTTAGCTCAGTCGGCAGAGCGCGGTGCTGATAACGCCGAGGTCGTGAGTTCAAACCTCACACGGACTATTATTTTACCCCAAATGAACTATTTTCTTTGTTTAGTTAGGCCCTCTGCAAACTTATCAAAAGAAAGCCTCAAATTTACCTATGCAGTACATTGTAGTTTTTAATGTAGATAGGTTTTGCACAGCAGCCATGTTGGATGGCAGGAACAATGAAAATATTTTGTATAAGATAGAAAAATTTTTCGCATGGGTAAAATAATCTATTGTTCCTGCCATCCAAAATTACTGCTGTGCAAAACCTCTATTCCCACATGAAAATACCCTTAATATGAATACCAAGAAATCACATTCTCTTAGACATTCTTTGTTCTCTTTGATATGAGCCGCAAACATCCCTAAATCAACGATTACTAGAAATTTTGATGGAAAATTTCCCTAACTGAGAACTTGTA